CTAGTGCAATTTTCAGGACCTTCTGACATTCATTTTAGTCTTTTCTTTCTTGCCTGTCTTTGTACTCTAACTCTTGTAATTTTTTTAAAAAAAATTTTATTCTGGTTTACTTACAAAGTTTGTACACTTTGTTTTCCTACCAAATCTTTCTCCTTTCCTTTACCCAGTCTTCCCACCACCCATCAAACTGTGCAACCCTATGATTAAGCTCCCCCACCCCATCACACTCTACCCTCCCCTTGCCTATCCTCACCCCTCTGCTCCTCCTCCCCTCTCTGGATTCTCATTCTCCTTCCACAATAATGGTTTTATATAGTATTTGTCTTTATGAGACTGAGTTAGTTCACTTAGCATAATGCTCTGCAGTTCCTCCCAAGTTAGGTAGTAATTTACAAAATCATTGCTCCTGCTTGCTGCATAGTATTCCACTGTGCGAATGTACCATAATTTCTCAATCCATTTGTTTGTGGTTGGACATTTGGGCTGTTTCCATGTTCTTGCTTTGGTGACTAAAATGAAAACAGGAAAATTGGTTTAGCTGTCAAAAATTAAATGGAACACATAAAGATCAACATCCTAGGCATTAGTGAGCTGAGACAGACTACTATTGGCCACTGTGAATCAATTATATGTTCTACATTACCAGGAATGACAAGAATAGCATTGTATTCACAGTCATAAAGAACATTTCACGATCTACCCTGAAGTGTTATGTTGTCAGAAAAGATAATATCCATATGCACATAAGGAAATCCTGATAATACAACTATTATTCAAATATATGCACCAACTACTAAAGTCAAAGATGAGAAACTGGTGAGAAAGACTTCTACTGGTGGTCTAGTAGTAAGAAGCTGCACAGTAATCTCAAAAGCATATTATATGACTCTAACAGCTGTCCCAAGGAAGAAGAATGGACAATCTCCTCCTGTGTGATTAAACTGCCTCTGAAAATCCACTGGGTGGTCAGCTATGAGTGGGCTCCAACTTGATAGGACACAAGAAGAAGCAACTTCTGTAGTCGGAAATTGACTGAACATGCAATTAAAATGCATTAATAATAATTGGTGACTGGAATGCAAATGTTGAAAACTAAATAGGACTAGTTGGTAAAAGCTGAACTAGTTATAGACATGAGGCTGGAGATTAAATGACAGAATTTTGTGCTTTATTCATTATACACATAAACCTCACTTGATGTACTACACAGGAATCAAATGGACTACATCTCTGGAAAAAAGTCAATGGAGAAGCTCAATACCAGCAGTTAAAACTAGGCCAGGGGTTGATGTGCAAGTTCAAACTGAAGTTGAAGAAAGTTAAAACAAGTCCATGAGAACCAAAAGACAATCCTGCATTTTTCCTCTCTGAATTTTTTAAAGAAACCTAAACAGATTTGATGAACTCAACATGAACGAATGACTGAACACCAGAGGAGCTGTGGGATGACATCAAGGACATCATCCATGAAGAAAATAAAACGTCATTACAAAGACAGGTGAGAAAGAAAAGATGTCAGAAGAGATTAAAAAATTTTGTGTAGTGGATGACATTATTTTGTAGGTGAAGAAATTAAGTTTTAAGATTTACTCAAAGAAATATAGGTGGTAAGTCAGAGAGCAAAAATTCAATCCAGTCTAATTCCAGAAATTACAATGCTAAATTGACTATATTTAAATAGCCCATTTTATGTAAGGTTTAGTATATGCTTTGTGATAGTCTCTCTACTCCACACCATGCCCCCCTCCTCATCTACAATTAAGTGGCAAAATGGAAATGAAACAATGTGAGTTATTGATACAATGTTATACATAGAATGGACTGACTCAAAATAAGCCTCATATGCCAACTGGAATGATCTTGTAAATGTACTGACTAGTGATTTTGTGCTTTTTTTCCTTCTTTTTTAAATAATTTTAATGAATATTTAAAGATATTTTGGATTTCCGTTCATTTATTGCTGCACTTCTCTCCCCGTCCAGCCCTTCCCCCACACCCTCAGTTTGCTCCTCTCTTTGAAAAGTATAAGAAAAACTCCCACCTCCACCCCTTCCACCCCAAACACTATGCAACCTTAATTGTGGACTCTTGTGATAACCATAATACCCTATCATACATCGCTTTTAAATTACTCTCTCCCTCATCTGTTTCAGTGTAGTATACACAATTTATCCAGTTTTTCTCAGTCTTATCCCAACTCTGATATCAGTCCCATTTTAAAGCAGTGGCACCAGGCAGTATTTGTCCTTTTGCGACTGAGATATTTCACTCAGCATAATGTCCTCCAGGCTCACCCATTTTGAATAATATTGCATGAGTTCCTTGTTTTTAAATGCAGCATAGTATTCCATTGTGTGAATATACCGCAGCTTCTCTATCCATTCCTTTGTTGATGGACACCTGGGTTGTTTCCAACTCCTTGCTACTGTGAACAAAGCCATGATAAACATGGGTGTGCATATATCTGCGTGGATGTCAGTTATGGTCTCTTTGGGGTATATTCCCAGTAGTGGAATTGCTGGGTCAAATGGTATCTCTATTTGCACCTTTTTGAGAAAGCGCCATACCACCTTCCACAGTGGTTACACCATTTTACACTCCCACCAACAGTGAATAAGGGTTCCAGTTTCTCCACAACCTCACCAGCATTTATTGCTTGCTGTTCTGTTTAATTTTGCTATTCTGACTGGGGTGACATGATATCTCATAGTTGCTTTGATTTGCATCTCTCTTAGAGCTAGAGATTTTGAACATTTCTTCATGTGCTTGTTGGCCATGTGAATGTCTTCTTTGGTGAAGTGTCTGTTCATATCCTGTGCCCATTTTTCATTTGGATTATTTACCTTTATCTTGTTGTGGTGCTCAAGTATTTTATAAATTCTAGATAAAAGTCCTTTATCTGACATGTCATTATCAAATACTTTTTCCTAGTCTGTGGCTTCCCTTTTTACCCTGTTGGAGAACTTTCTGGATGTGCATAGAGATTTGATTCTTAGAAGGTTCCATTCACCTATTTTATCTTCTCCTGGTTGTAGAGATTTTGTGCTTTTTTTTTTTTAAAAAAAAATCACTTTTCCCAGAATAAAATGACTAAAGTATAAATCTGTATTTTAGAATTAATAAATTACTTGTTATTGGACCTACTCCAGAGGTACGAGGCAAAGGAAGTGAATATTTACTAAAAGCTCTCTATGTCACTATCTACAAGGGATATTCAAACATCAAACATTTCTGCTAGGAGAAGATTAATGGGATTCAGTCCATTTGCATGAAGCACACTGTCATTCTTCTTTTTTTTTTTTTTTCACACTGTCATTCTTATCTCATTTCTAAAAGGAGCTTAATTCACTTATTGTCTGTTGAATTTATGACAAAATATTTATTTTGCCCAAAGCTAGCATTGTTATTCCATCTCTGCCTGGTAAGTCAAAGGAACATTTAACACAGCAAGCCATATCTTATTATTTGTTGAATACCATAGGAAGGTTTCTGACAAGAAGATTCACATCTGGCCCATTTTTCTCTCTCACAGAAAAGTGTACAAGATAAAATTAACCAATCTCTAACCCAGATTAAAACATTGTATGTAAATTTGTTGCCTTCCAATTCATCCAGCTGCTCCTCAAACTTCATGATCTACCAGGTAGAAATCCCTTGGTCAGAGTTAGCACTGAGAAAAAGATTCCGTTTATTGAGAGGAGTCTCTGAATGATGCAAAGGGCTAATAAAATCATCTTCTAACCAAAAGGCTGAAGTTAAAGTCTACTCAGAGGTGTCTTGGAAGAAAGGTCTGAAAATCTACTTCCAGAAAACCCGTCACTGAAAAAAACAAAGAGCACAGTTCTGCTCTAACACACAGGTGATTAAGTAAAAATCAACTGGACAAAAATGAATTTTTCTCCCCAATGTACTTATTAAAACATACTTAATTTTAAAAAAATTCAATCCAATATTATCAGGTACCAGAAATATTAATAATTTATACAAATAAAACACCTGTATTTGTTTAGACTTCTGTTACAACTCAGTTTAAATAAGTACAGATGGAATTAAAACCACAATAAAAATATGAATAAGGAGTTGACATAATGTGGAACACTCACATGGTTCTGGTACCATTATTACAGTTTTGTCTGACCTGCTGTGTCACTTGGAGCTGGCCCCTTTGCCACTTTATGCCTTTTACTCCTTGTCAGTGACAGAGAATTAACTACTGTCTGTCTCAGCGGGATAGTGAGTGGATTAAATTATTAAGCAAAATGCTTTGGGCAAAAGACATATGAATGCTAAATATTACGATTTACAAGCATTCATTTTCTTAGCACTCCTGTGGGGTAAGGAAGTTATTTCGATTTCATATATGAGTAAACAGGCACAGGGGGTTAAGGTCACATGGTAAGGCTCCATTTATTTAGTCCCTGTAGGAAGTGAATAATACACACCTTTAGTAATCAGATGAACTTTCTCAGTATGATCTTAAATACAGTTAATTCTTCACTTAATGTCCTATCTTTTAGCATGCTTTCAATGAGACACAACTCCAAGATAGAAACAATGCTAGAATAAGGAGAAACAATTCTGTGTGCTTTAGATGAATGATCATAAAAAGAGACAAATAATCTCAAATCTAGAACAAATGAAAACCTGTGTTATTTTCAAGGATTCCTCTTTAATACCATGTAAGGTCCTTCAACCAAAGGAATCTGGAAACATGGCTAGCTACAGACATATTTGTGGAGAAAAATTAAAAAGCTGTCACAGGCCTTCATACTCATTTGTCTCATTAAAAATCAAACTTTGGGATGGCAAATTTACCCCCTAGGCTTTAATTAGCAACTAAACAAAAAGAGAAAATAAATCCAAAAGAATCAAGGGTGAATGTGAAGTAACGAGGAGAGTTTGTGATGGCTAAACACGGGCAAAAATACTACTCAAGTGTGATAAGAATACAAAAGAAGATTCTCTGTTCATATCTTAAGACTACCTGCTACACTGCTTACCCGACTCCGCAGGCAGTCAGCCAGGTTCCGCCGAGTGAAATTAGCTGCTGCTGTGGGAGATAATTCATAACCTAGTAAAAGAGATAAACAAGGAATATTTAAAGTGAAACATAAGGAATGAATAGTATCCTAAACCATTCCTCTATCCCTGTTCTTAATGACTACTGCTCATGCAAAATTTATGAAGTACACAATCACACTTCTAGTCTCTCTCTTCATGCACCATATATAAAGTACCTGGCTGACAGTAATGCAGTGATACAAAACAAAACCAAGGTTTTATGGTGGGATCAGTCACAGGCTTGCTTAAAAGGTACAAATAAATTGTGTGTGTGTGTGTGTTTTAATAAAGTCTTGAGATGTAACTTTTCAAAAGTTTATTAAAAGGATATGGGGGAGACTGAAAAGATGCATTTTAAGTTTTCTTTTAAAAAATGTGTAACTTTAGTAAAAATTTAAACAATAAAAGCAATGTGTGTGAAGGATAAAGTCTCTAAAAAACATTGGCATGGATTCATGTTGGAACTTAACCCCCCTGGATTAAATGCAATCAGTGTTAAAAGGCACAAAACCACTCAGTGGAATCTCACAGAATATGCCAGTTTCGAACAGGAGCTAATATATCCACCGTAACATTTCAAACAGCAGTGTCAGATAAAGCAAGATTTAGATTAAAATCCCATTATACAACTCTTTCCTGTAGAGCTGTTGGTTGCTTCAAACTGCTAACCTTTCAGTCATCAGTTGAGATCTTAACCTTTGCACCAACAGTGATTCTATTAGTTTACTACCCACTACTATCAAGTTGATGCTAAATCACAGTGACCCTCCATCCGATTTCTGAGGCTCTAAATCTTTACAGGAAGAGACTGTTCAACTTTCTCCCTCCAGAGCACCTGGCACATTCAAACCAAAAACCTTTCAATTAGCATCCTGACACAATGCACCATAACACCAGGGTTCCTACCTATCAGTCTATTAATGTACATCAATCATAGTGGGAGCAATCTTAGTCAACCCTGGCAAACCTTGGACAAGCAGAAATATATTTGAATTCTCCACTTCACCTCCAAACACCATAAAGGATTTTACAGTTGTCTTCAGAGAAAGAAGTTTGACTGATGCCCACACACCTTAGCTTAGGTCTTGAACTTTAAATGTCATATAATACATCATTTATCTCATCGTTCTCAGTCTCGGCCCAACCCTGACGTGAGTCCCATTTTACAACAGTGGCACAATGGATAAATTACGTATACTGCATTGAAACAGATGAGGGAGAGAACTGTTTAAAAGGGATATATGATTAGGTATTAACTGTCATGACAGGAGTCCAGAAGGAAGGCTGCACAGTGGAGTGGACTTGGGAGGGAGGGGCTGTGTATCAATGAAAGAATTTTTCTTTTACCTTTCAAAGAGAAGAGCGAATTGGAGGGGAAGAGGTTGGGCAGGGAGAAAAGTGCAACAATGGATGAATGGAAATCCAAAGTCTCTGTAAACTTTCATTACACAAACTCTACTTCAAAGGTAATGGAAGGGTTCTTAAAAACAATGTTAACCACATGTGATTTTTATGTACTGACTTTAAATCCTAGAACCAATGTAATAAGCACTTCTCCCTACTCTTGTTCACTCTTTTCTCATCTCTCAGGACAGGACAGTAAATATTCTTACACTTATTGTATTTCAGGGAAAACCACTAAAAAAGTAAGAGAATGTTTAACATATTCTGACTGTGATCAATTAGTTGTGGCTTCTACTGCACTCGGACCAGCCAAATATTTAACATATTCTAAGCTTAAATACACAAAATATCCGTACATTGGTTTCTGAAAAGCAGGGATTGAGATATGTTCACCTATGAATTCTCTGCAGTACTAGGCAGTGCTTAACACAAATAAGGTTCTAAAAAAATTTTTTATTTTAATGCACAATGTTTAATCTGTTGCTTAAAAATCTATCTAAATGGATCTTACTTAGTAATTTAACATAACCAGTTATATACAAATTAATTTCCTTCAAAGTTTCATATTATACCAAGACTGTATATAACTGTCCTTAAATTGTGAATTAATCGAATGCAGAGCTCTCTGCAAGAACTTCAGTACAACCTTTTCTGGACCAGAAGGCCAGTGGCTAGTGCTGCCTATTAAGGAGGCTTTCATCAGATGCAGGGACAGCACTAATTATCTCCTTAGATAGAGAACTGTCAAAGAAGCAAGTAAAAACACTTTTAAACATATTAAATCACTTATAATTATGAAAAGCTTTACATTTACAAAGCATTTTCTTTTCTTTTTTTAAACAAAGCATTTTCTTAAGTGTAATCCCACTTTAGAAACATGGCATCCAAAAGTATAGAGAAGTGTAAGTGACTTGTTACACAGAAAACTGTGAAGTTTCCCTTAGGTCATTTTTAGCTCTCAAATTCAGATATACTTCAGCTCAAATTACTGTCTCTGATAGATGTAATACTTAAAGAGTATGATATTACCATACCCATCTCCAGATGATATAGTTTTATCTCCCAAGTATCAGTGTTAAATTGCTTTTAGGCTCTGGGATTTTTGCAGAAAATCTTTAAGAAAGAAGGAGAGTGCAAATTTTTTAAAACTAAGCCAATGAAAATATCATCACATAAGTCTGTCCAAGTATAACGTATCAGTCAAAAATTTTGTTTCAATTCAAATTTAAAGACAAACCAATCATAGTTATAGTCTAAGTAATACTCACCATTTCGCATCTTGTAAAGCTGTACATTTTTCTGAATATATTCTGCAAACTGTACAGTGTCACCAGCTTCTCCAACACACAGAAGTAAGATTTTTTCACTCATCTTAAACATCTTGTCATGATCTGCCCAAAGGAAAAAAAAAAGACACGAGAAGAAAAAATAAGACCCAACAACAAAACACAATACCCAAAAAACTAAATGGTATTAGAAATTACCTTGTCAGAAAATTTTAGCTATTATGTCTATCAGTATAAACAGGTTTATCAATTACTATTCCACAACGTGGAATAACGTATTTATTAACTACCATGTTGAATAATCTTACCAATTACCAATTTTAAAATAAGTTTTGCCAACTGTATTTTACCGGGTTCCTGCTTTTGTTTGTTACTTTCATGTTAAACCACCAACCAAACTAAAAAAGAAATCCACTATAATTGAGTTGGTTTTACTGGAAGTAGATTGCCCATCTTCATGGATCTGAACCACTGGCCCAAGACATAATCCTTAAACCATCAACATATTTTATTAATGTCAGTTTCAGTTAAACTGATAATAAAAAGATAATTTGAAAAATTAAAGACATTTTTAAATGTAATTATAAACAACCAAGGAAACAGAAGGAATTAAGCCAATGGTATTTATCGTTTAGGCTCTTTTAGGCTCATGATTAAGACTTGTGAAATCTCTCAACAGTAAAAATTCTAGTTATTATATTTATACATACACAAAATCATACCCAAAAGGGCCAGTGTTATACGTCATTTCTAACAGTAAACAACATAAAAACACTTTACAAAAATCTTTATACTCCATTGTTTTAGCTGAACCTTACTCATTCAGATTAGATGGGCAGATAATGCCCACAGCTAGAAATTCCATATTCAGTATTCAGCTGCAGGAAAAAAGACATCTTCCTATGATACTCTTACTTTCACTTTTCATTTTTCAAATAGTGCTGAATAATCTTCCCTGGCAGACATGCTTCCTGCTTAAAAATGTCAAAATCCCTTAATAGGATTTAAAAAACAAAATGCTACTATCAAATATTTCACACAAGTTCAAAAGTTATAGATAACAACAATATGGTTACTGAGACTCGGAAAAAGAGGGTGAAAAAAACTGAACACAAAGTGTGCCAATATATAGTATCAGATTGTCCTGAAACTCAGAACATAAAAACTAGAGGAGATTTAAAGACGTAGTTTACAAACTGGTTTATAAAAGGAAAAAATTCCTACTAATGTATTCCTTATGCAAAGAAAAAGTACCCAAGGGTACATTCTAAGTTCTTGCTAGTGATAAGAATGAGTAATTTGTATTTCCTTCTTTATCACATATCAGTAATTTCTAAAATTTTAATGCATCACTTTTGTATCAAAACACCAATTAGTAAACTATACTACTTTTATAATTAGAAGAGATAAAATTTATTTTGGAAAAAGAAATAAAATTTGTTTATAAAGATTAATGTCACATTATTTTTTTTAAGCTAAAATTCTTGGTAGTAAATTTCCATTTTCCAATAAATTTACTATAACGCCAAAAGTAGTTTTAAAACATATACTGCGTATTCAGTGAGTAGCAGCAAGGGATACAGAAACAAAAATGGTAAATCCTAATGGCTCTGGTGGCTTGTTATTACCAGCAAACCAGAGCCTTCTTGTTTCCAGCAAGGCAGAATCGGCTCACAGCTGACCCTCCAGTGGGTTTTCAGAGATAGTTTATAGCATAAAAGGAGACTGTCCACCTTTCTTGAACCTTGAGCCTTTGGGCTGACACCTCAACTCCTTACCACTAAACCGAGAATTCCTGTTGTTGATTGCCTTCGAGTCGAGTATGATTCATAGCGACCCTAGCCCCTCTACAACTATCGACATTTATCAAAGTTCATAGAGTTTCTGGAGTAGTGGTAAGGAACTGTGCTGCCAATGCAAAGGTTCTAATTTACCAGCTGCTCCAGGGGAGAAAGATGGACAGTATCTTTCCATGGGATTAGCTGCCTCTGAAAACCTACTGAAGAGGCAGCTCTGGGTTAGTTCTAACTGGACAGCTGACAAGGGCTCTAAGTTGTTTAGAAAACAGCCTCTTTCAAACTAGGTAAGTTCTTTGGCAAAGCATTTATTAAACTGACATAAAACAAACTGGACAACAAAATGAACATCAGTGTGAAAAAACCCACCAATTCTCATTTAAAAGATGGTCTTAGCATTCTGAATTTGGAGAAACGACTGCTTCCTTTTAGTACTGGATTCTAAACATGTTTAACAGTGATAATTTAATTTATCCGTGACTAGTAGCCTAAAGGTAAGGAACTGTGCTGCCAATGAAAGGCAAGCAGTTTGAATCCACAGGAGAAAGATGGGTAATTTCTCATGTGGCTTTATTGCCTCCGGAAACCCACTTTAGGGTCAGCTATGGGTGGGTCGGTTTTGACTCACCACCACTAACAACACTACCGTCACACAGGTGGGGGAAAGGATAATTTTATGTATGTACACTGCTATTTTACTTTAGCATCGGACAATGTAGTTCAGGCTATATATGCCATCGATATTAAGAGAGTTCTAAGTATACTAGAATACGATCAATAGTTTAAAAGTAATTTTATATAGGCCAAGGGACATGAAATACAGCACATAACCAAATGGAGAGTTGTGTCTAACTCTGACAAGCAAACAATTTTGGGGGAGTAGCTTCTCTAGAATACAGAAGTATTTTACAAAGTGATAAAGTGAAAAATGAAATGGCAAGTGTTATTATCATTTTATAGTTAGAGAAAATAATTTCTAAAAGTCTCCCCTCTCCAACATCTTTACCTACAGTTTCTTAAGCAAATTAACTGCAGGAAAAAGTTCTCATACAATTTCAGTACTCTTATCATACAAATGTTTATGTAGGCAAAGATCATAGGGAGGAGAGGGGAAAAAAAAAATCCAAAGAACTGAGTGCAGTTTTTTCCATCCATTTTTTAAGAACGTAAATTCACTTTTCTTCTAATTCATACTGATCTTTCTTTAAAAACCTTTAGGATTCATTGCTGAAATTATGAATTTAAAAATTAAACTAACACTGACTAGGTGTAAAGCACTTTTTTTTTATGAAACAGAATACTTGTAAAGGTACTGACTTGGTTATTGCTCTACCTAGACGAAGCTTCACTCTAAAGTCACTTGTCTGTCAAAGGCCTCAGTATTTAAAATAATGGATAACTTTATCCTCAAACATATTTATTCCTTTGAAAGATTGATTTTAACAGAACTTACACAAACTAATCATTGAATTTCATGAGGTAACTTCACTCGAGGAACAAATCATCATACAGGAGATTTTTAACCATTTTCAGGATTTCCTTTCTTCTACGAATAGACTTGTTGTTGTTATGTGCTGTTGAGTCGCTTGCGACTCATAGCGACCCTATGTACAATAGCTCTGAACTCCGCTCTGTCCTGTGCCAATCACACTGTCTGACACTCCCATCCCAATTATCCCAGTCACTCAATCAATCCACCTCATAGACTAATAGACTAGAACTCAAAAAAGGTCTATCAAAGTCAAGTCTATCAAAAGGTCATTCCACTTTCCCAAGTGATAGAAGCTGGACAATCCGATTCCTGCAGAGGCAGCAGTGGTTATGTGAGTGAGAACTCACAGCTGACCCTCCAGTGGGTTTTCAGAGATTGTAAATCACACAGGTGGAGACTGCCCATTTTTCTCCCATAGACCAACGGGTGGATTTGAATTGCATACCCTTGGGTTGGGTGCAGTAGTTGACACATTTCTGCTCCTGTTTACATAACTCAAGAAATACCAGATTTAGTAAATTTTCTTTCCTTAAACCCAAGATGAACTGCCAATTGCTCTTAAAATTCTCCCTAATCTCTATGACCAGAAATAATCTGTTCAAAATGCATTTTTATCAACTATCTTTGTTATCACTAAGTGATAATTATTTTTTAACTTATGTGCACTGTTAGGCTGTTAGAACTTTTTGGTTGTTAAAATAAAACGCATTCAATTAAAAAAATGTACTATATATATGATCAGCAATGAAACCTCACGTAGATGTCTCATAACAATCACCAAAATAATTAATGCATCTCAAGTACTTACTATAGGGAGATAATATTAGTATAGATATTCTAGGTAAAAGTTTTGGAGTCAAACTGCTTAAGTTTAAACCCTGATTGTTCAATTTGTACCCCTTAACTTCTGAAGTTTCAGACCCAACATGGAGTGGAGTTAGAACAATGCCTAACTCAAAATGCTAAATTAATTAGTAAATCGTCTTAAAACAACACATGCAGTGTAAGTACTTCAATGGCTTGTTAGTACCAAGTATTTTTCACTATACTTAGCTTTTGCACATAATTTACCTCATTCACACAACCCTCATAAGAACACTAAAAGGTTGGTAATAAACAACCGATTTTAAAGATAAGGAAATCTGGGGATTCAAAGCAACTGTACAAAGAAAATACGGATGATGGGATGGATTAGTCTTAATTCTACTAACTACTTAAATATTAAGAAAAGTTGAAAGGAGAAGAAAAGTTGGCAGCGCGGGCTCATGAAAACTAGAAAAGGAGGCTCAGAGCTGAGCCACTGAAAGATCAAAGACTGGAGAAAGAAAAAATGAAGACTCCTTCCTCTCCCTAGGATTTCACCAAACTCACAGCATTGGTACTTCTTACAGGAAACTCCTAGATTTCAGAGTCAAGGGCTCCAACTTCGGAGCAGGGGCTTAAATGCTTAAAACGAAATTCTTTGGCAACTCTCGCCTAGGAAGGACTTAGCAAGTCAGTGCACCAAGTTCTGAACTAGACGCCCTGCGAGGAACGGCTGACAAGGTAATTAAGTTTAACTGCTTGTCTCCTCAATTTTGAAAGATTAAATGCAGGGCAAGGTGGGTTCTAACTCCCAGACTTACCTGCTCCTCACCCAACCTCCTCGCCCCCTAAGAACTCCATCCACTGCCCTTAACCCCAAGGCCCGGCCAGGCCTCCTCTGCTTCCTCTTACCGTCCTTCATCTGGACAATATTACTAGCAGCCACTCGGTCAGAGGCGACCAAGACGTAGTCGGGGCCTTGAATGCCGATAAGGTACTCCATAGTAGCAGGGGGGCAGAAGGCGGCGGGTGCGACACAGCGTGGGTATCGCTAGCTAGTCAGCCTCACGGGTGAGACAGCACAACCAAGCACAACTCCGCGCGACGCAGGCTGGCCCACAGCCGCGGCCGCTGGCGCTTTCAGATGACGTAAAATGTCGCGAGAGGTTGGATTGCGGAACGTTGTTGGGCCTGTTCATTTGTGTGTTTCCCTCCGGGTCTCTCTCCAGTAAGGTTATTGATTTCCAATTCTCCCTCTGTAACTCTCATTTTACCCTCTGATTCCTTTAAGGCTGAATTTATACACCATACGTAGAGTTAAAATTACTTGATGAGTCGCAGAAAACGGGGTAGTTCCTTTTCTTGACTTAAGACATTGCGTTAAGTTGAAACAACTCAAAGCTGCCCCTCCAGCGGGTTTTCAGAGGCTGTTAACCGTTTTTCTCCCGCAAAATAGCTTGTGAATTCCAACCGACGAAGAAGTGTAGCCTTTAGGTTGGGAATGCAACGCCCCACTGACGAGGACACGACCTCCCTTTATTACCTTTATTACCCGGTAAAATCGCGAGAACCCCTTTCCCTGAAAACTAGATTGGAGAAAAGTTAAGTGAGATGATTTACTACTTGCATTCCTTAAAAAAAAAATTATATGTGTGTGTGTGTGTGTGTGTGTGTATGGTTGGATTAAAAACCTAAACCTTAAAGTTGATCATAAAAACAAGGGAGGGGGCTAGAAGAATATTTTTATAATCCTCAGGAGGGACATATGTTACCAGCACGACAGGAAGCCCAGAACAATATGAGGGTGGGAAAATTAGAACCAAAACTAAACCAGTTGTCTTGAAGTTCATCCCTAATCCATAGGATACTCCGTGACGGATTCGTCAGAATAACCAAGACTGTCTTGTTATGTACGTTCAAGTTGGAACCAGCTCATTGTTGATGTCCCAGCTGGGTTACACAGGAATGGGAGGAGATTGCGTCATGCCTTTGCCTTGGGAGTGCAAACACATTTGTGCCACCAGAGATCCCAATGTTGTTGAAAAAGACTAAAGTTATGACTATATCACAAGTCTCTGTGGTGAAAATCACCATAATGTTAAAAGATAAATATAGATTATTTTTAAATATATTGAAGAGTTAGTATCTTTTAAAAGTTTCTGCAGTTGAAAAGGGGAATGAGAAAATTTTAAATGGCAAAAGTTAACATTTAATTAAAAAAATAGACAAATGGTCAGTGAACAGGAAAGATCTTCAACCCTGATGGAGACTGTTGTTGCTGCTGTTAATTGCCGTCGAGTTAAGCACAACTCATAGCGACCCTATGAACAAAAGACCTGAAGCCTTTATATAACTCTCGTCGTCATTTCTCAGAGTTCATAGAGTCACCAGAGGCATGTTGTTTAGGAAGTGGATGCCACCCCTACTGCTTGAAGGAGATTAGGAAATTAGAAATAAACACCCCAAGGCATGAGGTTAGAGTCCGCCATCTACTCCATGCAAGAAAGAGGAGCATTCTGTCCTGTGTGATTTACTGTTGCCTCTGAAAACCCTCTGGAGGGTCAGCTGTGGGTTGGTTTTAACTCAGTGGCACACACTAACAACAACACAGTGAATTTATGAAAACTGTGGTGGCCAAGTAGGGAAGGAGTTGCTTTGTCACCTAAAGGCATGTGGATTGGAATCCACCAGCTGCTTTTTACTCTGTGGAGAGAACAAGGGGCGATCAGTCTCCTCTTCAGTGATTTGCAACCCTTACCTGATGCTAGGTAAGAGTTAGGAGTCAACTCTATGGCAAAAATGACAACAGTAAGTTTATAAATTGCCATGGTTTTTCTATAGATGAAAATATAAATGTAACATTTTAAGTGTGTCCCAAAGAAATATTTAAACATATATAAAAATCTTTATGAAGAAGATAAATTCATTGCAATATTGCAACAGTAAAAAGAAACAAAAACTCCACTTACATATCCATATTGTTGTGTACTGTCAAGTAGTAACAGATTGATAGCAGGCTGTCCAGCATATCCATATTGTTGTGTACTGTCGAGTAGTAACAGATTTATATAAACCACACAGGAGGACAATGCCCATCTTGCTCCCAAAGAACAGCTGGTAGATTCAAACCACATGCCTTTGGGTTGGCAGGGTAACTCCTTACTGCTAAGCCTCCAGACTTCCTATATATCCATTGTTGTTGTTGCTATGTGCCATCAAGTTGCTTGCGACTCATAGAGACCCTATGTACAAGAGCCCTAAACCCTGCTTATCCTGTGCCAACCTCACTGTCTCTGACACACCTACTCCCATTACCCCAATCACTCAATTGACCCATCTCATTGAGGGTCTTCCTCTCCTGCGCTGTCCCTCTACTCTACCAAACATGATGCCCATTTCCAAGAAATGGTCCTTCCTTGCAACATGCCCAAAGTATGTCAGACAAAGTGTCAGAATCCTTGACTCCAAGGAGCAGCCTGGTTTCACCCTCTCCAGGGCAAACCTGTTTGTTCTCCTAGCAGTCCATGGTATATTCAACACTCTTCTCAAGCACCACAGCTCGAAGGCATCAAGTCTTTTCTATCATCCCTAGTCACTGTCCTGCTCTCTGATGCATAGCACACAATTGTAAAGACTATGGCCTGGATCAGGCACACCTTACTCTCCAGCCTGATGTCATTGCTCTTCAGTACTCTGGAGAGGTCCCTGACAGCTGACTTTTCCAGTGTAATTCATCTCTTGATTTTCTGGCTCCTAGTACCAAGAGTGTTGACTGGAGCCAAGCAAACTAAAACTGTTAACTATCTCAATCTCTTCACCATCCATACTGATGCTGCCAATTGGCTCAGTGGTGAGAATCTTTGTTTTGTTGACGTTGCGCTTCAATCCATATTGAAAACTGCAGTCTGTGACCTTCTGCAGCAAGCACCTTAGGTCATCCACAGTTTGGCAAGCAGGGTTATGTCATCTGCATAATGCAGGTTGTTGATGAATCTTCCACCAATCCTGATGCCACATTCCTCCTCCTACAGCCCAGTGTCTCGGATGATCGGTTCTACATACAGATTGAAAAGGTATGGAGACAGAGCACATCCCTGGCAGATGTCCTTCCCAGTTTTGAACCATGCAGTGTCTCCTTGCTGTGTTCTGATGACTGCCTCTTGGTTCAAGTATAGGTTTCACATAAACACAATCAAATGTTCTGGGATTCCCATTCTTCTTAGAGTCAGCCACATATATATCCATTAGTAGAGGAATTATTTTATATACATCATGGTAGATTTGTGGTGTTGAAATTTTATTCAGTCATTTAAAAAGAATGAAAAAACTTAAATATTCTGATGTATTCCACCTGGCCCAAAATATGTCAAATGAAAATAAAAAAGCATCCCATTGTATAGCTTGCTATTTTGTAATTTTAAAAATATAAATAGAAAATAATCTTAATATGAGCATGTCAAATGTGTGCAGTGGTTAACACTGGAGATGGTGATTTGAAGGGAGGACTTTAATTTTTTTAACTATTGTAATATTTTGCAAAGCTGATATACTATTAATAATATTTAAAAGGTTAAAAAATCTAGATACTGAGTCAGTCTGGAAAACTGAAATATTCCCTGACTAGTTTCTTATACCCACAACAGTCTTCCTACTAGCTGAGAAAGGGAAAAAATGTTGCAATTTTGTCTCCAAACACAGCTATGTAATTTGTTTGCCATTGTAGAAATGTGAAGTCCTTACTTCCTTCTGTTTGTTCTATTCCGCTGCTGATGAAGGAATGGAGAGCCTGAGGAGTTTGGGGTAACCATCTATCATGAGATGGATGCCATGGGCAAGTGAGGTCATTAAGTCAACCACCCTACTAGGAACACAACTACATCCATCATTTTAGATCATTTTCTTAAACATCACTAGAGAAGAAACCTTTTTTATTTACTCACTCTCCACTCTTCATGTGTGTTTATGCATGCATTTTAATTACAAAAAGTACATAGTTACACTATATGGGTAAGTATCCATTTACATACCGCTGAAAGAAAAAGCTACACATCTCTCCTTCTCCCATGGGAGTTCTATATCCTTCCAGACCTTTGCATTTTTATATACCAGCATCTACCTCCAGATCCAGTCATTAATTCACAAAAGTTTCAGAATTCTTAATTTAAAAATCCCCTATCTTAACGAGAGAGAGAGACAGACAGACAGACAGACAGAAAGAATCTATGGATCTTTACTGCTTTCTCTCCAGGACGCTTGAAATCCACTTTAGATAAATCACACCATAGAACTCCCAACTTTGTGTTATTATGTTATTTTACATGTTGTCAAGTTAGAACTGACTCATAGCTGAGTCATAGTAGGTTTTAAGAAATTGTAAATCACATAGAATGAAGAGAGACTGTTCATCTCTCTGCTGCAGAGCAACTGATAGATTCAAACTGTGTACCTTTTGATTGGTAGCACAGGTCCTTATTGCTAAGCCACCAGAGTTCCCTAACTTTGTTTAAGTATAGAAAATAAAATAGCTTTTAAGTAATTTGTTTGTTATGTACCTCAGTGTAATTTTCTTCCTATTTACCATGCTTGAGCCTATTTAACTCCTTTGATCTGTGACTTTATATTTTTAATATAATTTGCAATTTTTTTTAATTATAATTTTTTCTCATCTATTTTCAGGGACTTCAATTACATACATGAGGTTATTTGATCTTGAGTCATCTCATTGATGCTTTGTTCATTTATTCTAGTCTTTTTTCTTATTGTTAACTTTTAGATATTACCTATGTGGTGTTTCTGATATTCCCTAGTATATTAGAAGGGGTAGACAAGTTTCAGTGCCTTCTATTTTTCTGACTATAAAAGTAAAAGATTTTCTTTCCAGTTAGGCACAAATGGAGCGAGGTGAGGAGCACTCACCCTAAAGTTCCATCAACAACTCTATTGCAGAGATGGTTAACATACCCCAAATCTGAAGGACTTTCTGTAAAAAGTGTGGCAAGCATCAACTGCACAAAGTGACCCAGTACAAGAAGGGAAAGGATTCCCTGTACG